ACAAAAGATCCCTATACGAATAAATAAAAAATCTCTAAATATAAATGAACGAGGCTAAATTTTGGTTTTTATATAAACTGCGTGCCAATTACTATCGGATTTGTAAGACGATTGTAGACTGAAATAATAATCTCACAAATTAATCATCGATTTGATAAAAATATTAACATCATAAAATACCGTAAAGATTAACCTCAACTGTATTTGGCTTCCTTATTTATTTGATTATTTTCTTTAAAAAAGATATTTATTATGATCATATCAGAGACAAAATAGTCGAACGATGAACATGAGCTAATTAGAGTTTCTTTATAAATAATTGCTGAACAATAAATAAGCAATAATAGCTTTTCTAATTTATTTATAAAGCTCGCTCGAAAAGTACGTGGTAATTTTCTGGAAACCTTAATTACACGAATAATTAATCTTCCTCATTTTTTAATATTTCAACAAAGTTAAAATCAACTCTGACTCGATCGAATATAACCTATGTCGTTTAAGTGGATCTAGAATAAATGGTTCAGATTAAAACAAGGATTAAAATAAGAATTTTAAAAAATATTTAACCGTATATTTAAAAGCTCGAAGAGAAGAAGGAATAGAATCACTGCTCTCCAGTCTAAGTGATGGTATACGCACAAAGGCCGTTGAAATTGTTGAACTATCCTTGTATCACGAGCATACTCGACAACTATCTGTTGGTGGCGCATAGAATCCGCGAATTTATCAATTTCGTGTATTCCTCCGGAGGTTCCTGCTGGACGGCGGAGAGATTGTCTGGAATGTCGCCAGGCGAGCAATCGTTCGTCCAGCTGGAAGGAGAACTTTGTGAGGTGCGTCTGGGAGTCTTTGTGAAAGAAAGTGGCGAAAAAGAATGTATGGAGGTGGACTTGAGAAAGAAAAGGAAGCATAGACTGAGGTAGATAGGAAGAGTGGTGAACAGAATGGAAGAAGGAAGAAAGGAAGGAAGGAAGGACAAAGTCTGGGCGAAAAGACCACGAAATATCTGTCAATCGCAAGAGGGGAGGACCGCGATGGCGAAGTCGATTTAACGCCCGTTAAGGAAGCAATTCCTTTAAGGAGGACGAGCACCTCGCCCGTAAGGACAACGTAACCCCAGAGATCCTTGACCCTTGCCGGAGTCGCTCTTACGACCTCTTCTCCGCGGGGAATCGCTTCTGCGCCGCCATTATCGGCGGACGAATAGAACATCAATAACCAATTTCGTAAGACTAATATCGCGAAAATTAGTTTTCCTCCTCCTCCCTCCGAGGTCCTCTCCCGCGCGTCCTTCGTATTTCATCGCCGCCGGTACCTTTCGTTAAAAGATCGTGGACCTGCTCGATAGCGACGTTCATGGTTTTCTTAATGTCCATCCACAGGCGGCGAACGATCTCGTGAATCTTCTTTTATCGTCGCGCGATAGTCGTTTTTCTCCGCATCTTTCGCGCATCCCCTTCCTTTTTTTTTTTACACCCCGGCAGATATATCGCAGCGACGTCATTACGTCGAAGCGACGTGGCAAATTTTTTAACTGGCATTCTTCCACAGGTTTGTAGGAATCTCAACGACAAATTCAGTATTCTCAGATCAAAGTTCGCTACTGCATTTTTTACTGAAAGAAACCGCGATGTGTCAAACCTCGACGGATTGATCGTCGGACTTCTTTCGTCCTGCGTCGTATTTACATAATTCTCAGTTATTTTCAGAAAGAATGTTATTGGGTCAAAGAGTCAAGAGATCACAATAGCTTTTTTTTAAAGCAAATAAGAAATAATCATACTGCAGTCATAAAAATCAAATACAAGTAAATAAAAATAAATTTTATTAAATTTCACGAACAGGACATTACAAACACGTTACGCTCGTGTTTGAAGCTGTGTTTCAAATTTACTGCCAGCACTGAAAATGCTACAATTTACGTTACGTGCACTATAGATTTTCAGTACTTTTGGAACACAGCCTTGAGACTCACAAATAAACCTACCCAAGTGTTACACTCTGATTTTGATGAGTTTTTAGTATGTTGTTCTCCAGATAAAAATAAACGATACGTATATTTTTATACGTGCCCATACGTACTTTTAAGGGGTGAAATACTCTTTTGAAGAAAAAGTTTTTCTCTTTCGAAGCGAATATCTTCGAAATTATAAGAGGTAGAAAAAATATTCTAGAATAAAAATTGAATGGTTTCAAGAATACTTTATAACTATATAATAAAAATTTTTTTATAAACAAACAATTTTTATTATAAATTGAGGGGATCCTAAAGTCGTTTGTATTACTGACTGAACGCAATAATTTTTGTATAACAATTGCTTTTTACTTCGTTTATAAATTTAAAAATCATTTTCCAGGATTAAAGCATATGCATTAATACGTGTCTGTAAAGTGGAGTTTATGTCGAGAACGAAAAAAGATCTTAAATTGAAATTTTCTTTACACGGAAAAAAAAGATTAGCTGCCACAGCTAAAAATTAGGTATGGCAGCTAAATTCAGTAGCATTATATGGACACCTAACGTCGTATCTGCGAGGTCTAATTTCCATTAGCTGTGAAGCCTAAATATTATCATTGTAACAGACAAGCATTTTGCTATCATGTCGATGTATTGATCATTGGAGCAAACGTTTTCTGTGTAACAGACAATTTGGTAGCAAGTACAGTTTCAGCAAACCATATTTAACTGTGGTAGAGACAATTTTTTTTACACGGGCATATCCGATAACTGTGACAATTAACTTCATATTGCTAAATAAATCGATCTGTAACAGGCATGCATATTTTGCTATTACGTCCTTATATTAGCTACAGCAGCAAATCCTTTGTATGTATTAGCAAATTCATAGCTACAGTAGCTAATGCAATTTCAGCTAATCAGAATTAGCTGTAAACCAGAAACATTTTTTTCCGTGTACTATTTCTTAGTCCAATATGGCTTGGAGCTGTCAATATCGTAATAACATTTGCTTATTATATAACTTTGCAATCTGTACTTACGAAATTGTGGTCCACAGACACGTAATTCACATGAACAAACAACGTCGAGTTCTTGGAATTAGACACTTTATCGCGACGAATTTATTATACCAAAATTGCCACAAACGTGTGGCTATGTATATCATAGTTTGTGAGATATTGGTATGGTAGTATATAAAGATATGTCCATGTGCTGTAAAACAGCGATCTTTGGTGACCTCGTTGGAGTTCGGGCTTCACTTTAGGATCCACTTAAGAATCATTTTATCCTTGTTGTTTGTGAAATGTTAAACAAAGATAAATGATGCTCATAAGCGTTGTAAGCATGAATTGAATTACGGCGCCCAGTATGGCAGTATATCGGAATACTGCCATAAATCATAATCAATTTTATGAGAAATACACATTATATACAAATAAAAAAAGTATATAGATATTATTCGCCTAAAATCTATGTTAAATATTTCCTTTAAAAAAAAAACATGATTTAAACATTTGTTTTAAACACGTCAAAAATTTGTTTAAAATATATGTTTGTTTAAAACAGTACAGAGTTTAAAACATGTTTTAAACATTTGTTTTAAATACAAATGTTTTAACAACTGCCTAAAAGTGCGTATGGGCACGTATAAAAAACATGTCGCTTATTTTTGTCTGGAAAATAACATACTAAAAACTTATCAAAATCGAAGTGTAATGTTGATTCTACAATGAGTCGGAAATCTTAAATCTTAATCAATTTTATTCTGAATAAATGACTATGATTTTTTGCATCTACTAGTTGTTAATTGTACAGTTGTTTAGCTCGATTAATGGAATAGTCGAATTTGGTCAGTCTTAAGAAAATCGGTAGTCTTAGTCGTACAAGTTGGCTGTTGGCCAACTCCACCGATTCACCGATAAGACTTAGGACTACCGACTACCGACTCATTGTAGAATCAGCTTAACACTTAGGTAAGTTTACTTGTCAGCTACGATCGCGTGAAGTCTCGCGATGTTACGTTGCGTGACCCAAGGAACACGCCAAGGCAAAAGAAAATCAAAATGACTTTATTTTGATGTGATGAAAGTCAAAATGACGATTTTTGATCACAAAATTTGATTTTTTATTGACGTTAAGAATCAAAATAAAGTCATTCTGATTTTTTGTTGATTTTTGTGTTCCTTGGGGAAGAGATATCAAAGAGTGACGACCCATAAACCGTCGATGCATGTCGGCGCAAATCGCGCTGAGATGCAAATTTCACTGGATGTTTTTCCAATGGCGTTGATGAATAAGGAATCGTGAGGTCGCGCGCCGTGTGCGAGTAATGAAATGGAGTACGGAAGGGAAGAGTGGCATAAAGACCTTGTTGGAAAACTGAGTTTCATCAAGCACTGGCCTCCTTTCTCAGCCCTTCTCGTCCTGCCCTCTCTTTCTCCTCCTCGTGTCGCAATCTCGGCTCCTTTATGTATATACATTCGCTCTTATCAGAACGCGCGCTTGTAGAGGATGGGCGACACTGGAGAAGGCCCGAAACAGAATTTTGCGTACCAAAGTTGACGAAGCACCCGCCATGCATTATTCCACCCGGCTCTTTGTGCGCGCATCGTGTCGTATCTGTTACCTGTTTTCGCGCGTTCTCATACTTTTTTACCGTTTTCTTTGTTGCCGTCGATGACGGCCGCTCGGTAAAGAAATCGACCGACACATCCAACATGTACCTTTTTCTCTATTAACAAAAATTACATTTAGGTGTTTTTGCTTAAATAATTTGTAATTAATGTTGCGAAATTAATAACACATGAATATATTATTGTCTAAATGTAAATAACGTGATATAATTATGCAACTAGTACATTGCGCGAGTGGTATGTCATGAACAAAAGCTAATCGATTTTAATAAATGTCACTCGTCCATATATCATAGCGTCGGATAAATTTGCAGTATAACAGACACTCGTTGAAACTTTGTAAAATTCTCCGGGTAAAATTTAAAAAATGAAGAAATGAAATTCTAAGGATCAATAGTTTAAACATTTTTTCAAAATTTTATAGTGATCTCCCATGTAAGTTTAATTTCTGCTGTTAAAAAGCATTATATTTGTTACAGTTATTTTAATATTAATTTATCAGGTATCACAATAAAAAAAAGAAGCTTATAAGTTTATTTATCATTATTTTCACGTTTAATTGCGTAATAAATTAAACCTTAGAACTTATATTAAACGTTTTCTTTCTGCCTTTAACCTATTTACCTCATTTCAATCAATTCTTTATTTGCCAAGGTTTTTTTTATCGAGAAAAGTGATTGGATGCCTCTCGATTCGCGATATAGAATTATCATAGATAACTTTGACTCATCAAGCGAAGGTTACGAAATAATATGAAAAGAGGGACGAAGTGTGTCGTACAGACTATTAATCTGTCCAATCCGAAAACATGCATAAGACCGAAGGTTCAGAGACCCATTAGTGCGAATGCGGATTCTTCTTGCGATCTTAATCGTGCAAGTCCAAGTGCTAGACCAGCGGCAGTTAAAGTTTACTCGTGGAAAGACGCTCAGTGGAAGCATCCGCCAAAGGTAAGGGAAGATTATCGAAGTTTTCAGGTTTAATAAGTTCTAGAATTTGCAAACACATTTGAGATGAGTAAATATTCATACAATGATACATCATCAAACTTTTGAATCAACTTTGAGATAAAAACAGCGTTAATGCCGCTGCGTTGTTCAATGTCTGACAAATGAAAATATCGCAATAGAGAGAAGAATGCAACATAAAAATTTTTGACACGAAATTGGATGAACATTTCATGCGAATCGCGAGATATCTAATTCTCGGTTAAATCATGTGGCTTGTCGCTGTGTCGAGCATTCACTTGGCCCTCGCGCGATATTGACACGTCGCGTAACGAGATGATGGTGTTCAAGCACCTGCATGGAATTGGTTAGTCGATACGTAGCTGCGTTTACCTGGAATTAGCTCGACAGTCGGGGTACACTATAGCGATGGGTCTCTAATGGAGGAGGTGCAAGTCCAAGTCCCCGTAACTGTTATTGGGATATCATTGAGGTTTTGGAACAGGTAGCCGAGCACGACAACGAATAGCGACACGGAATAAAATTTATTTAATCAGAGTTGTCACAAATTCCTCATTTTAAAATTTCTGTACTTTTTCCTGATTTCTGGACAAAATTTTACAATTTTCCTTGACTTTCAATAATATTTTGAAATTTTTTGGTCTTTCATTCTGATTTGTTGAGAGATTAATTTAACATAGCAATGTAAATTACTATTAATGTCGCTGACGCTGCTTGCATTTTTAAGTTCGTGGTATTCAAAAAAACTGTGTAGGTATAACGTATGTATATTAAACTTCTTTAAAGCCAAGAATTTTAATTTTCCAGAAAATTATGCAAAATTTCCCGATTCTTTCCTGATTTTCCTGATCGTTTTTAATTTTCCTGACAATTCTCTGATTTCCAGTTTTGACAACCCTGTATTTGACACATTTATATTTCCTTACATTTCAGCGACTCTCTGATTTAAAATATAGCGTTAAATCACATGTTCTAGAGGAACGTATAACTAATTGTAAGCAGAAACAACAAAGATGACGAATATTGTATGAGTCTAATTGCGTGCTTACCTATTTCAAATATATTTATAGTGTTCCTTATATTAAAATGTTTAATTAATTTTATTATATTATTTGTATTATTTAAAATGGATTAAGATCAAATTAAATTCAGACATTTTTAAATATTTTTTCTTAAATTTGGGTCAGATATCTATTTAAGCGTTTAACTATTTGAATAATAATAAGTGAAAATTAACTATTTAAATGTTATGTTTATTCGTACAGTTTTGCGAACCTTTTCCAAAGAAATCTCCGCCGTCTACGACCAACACAATACTTTGCAGGGCTGCGACGTTTTTTATAAAAGGCGCTGTTGTTGCTGGTCTCATCTGTTGGACCTGTTCGGAGGGTCTTTGGGGCAGCAATACCGAAACGGAAGAGCTGTATTACAGGATGATGAGCGTGATTTTCCCTGATCGGCAGGTAAATAAGCGTCGAATTTACATGCATTAAGAACTGCACGCGTAGGTTTCTCTTATAACGACACATATTTTTCGCATAGATAAGTTTGTTACGTTTTGAGGAACTAAAATACTCCGTGTTCGAAACGTACAATGACATGTTGATGAAAGGCATGGATATCATGGTCAGCGTACCGCGCGATGTGTATCGAAGACTGCAAGAACTCTTATTCCCGTACAGTGCAACAAAGGAAAGAGAGAGAAGGGCGAAACGCTTTGACGAGAATTGAGCGGAAATATAATTTCGTAAATTGTGTGTGTCAAAACTTGAGATACCGATGTGGATGTACATCATACGATATTTACAAAAAATTTGTATGAAACTTTTAGGCTGATATTCAGGGTCGATTCTTATTTTAAGATAATGTCTTAAGATGCTAATACAACTCTGTGATTGGTTTTTTAAGACTGCACTTAAACATTTTAAGACATTTTAAGACTGTAGTTAAAATAGTCTTAAGCCATTCCTAAACAAGAATCGACTATGAATACCAGCCTATGTCTTTTAATATTGTGCGTGGAATTTAAGTGAAAATGTGTGATTGTGTGAAATCATAAATTTCTGTTAACATGCAAATAAACATATTTAAAATTTACTGCGTTATTCGCGCAGGTTGTTGAAGATATCTTAACTAACATATCCCTTTCTTTCTTAGTTTTTATATACAGAATGCTTGGTATCCGCGGATATACGAGACAGGATTAAAATTCCGCGCGACATCTTTTCCATTTTTTCTCTCTCGTGATGTTCAAGGGCACACGTGGGAGTTTCCAAGGTGTGCATAACAAGCGATTTTTATGGCCTGCCTATGTATCGTCATAAAATCTCAGATAAAATCTTAGAAACCGAGATAAAAATTCGCGTTTTCATTACACGCCCTTTCATATCTCTTCACTGCAGTGTCTTACAGTGTAAATGTCGCGACGACTGATGTACGAGCCGTTAAGGAGAGAATATTTTTCGAGTCGGATTTGCGCGATGCATTCGCTTTCGCGACTCACGATACCTAAAGAAAGCGAAAAAAAACTTACGTGCGAAACCAGGACCTTCCTCGTACATATCGTGAATTTCTCAAAGCCGCCAGCTCCGCCGTGAGTCCTTACGCGTCGAGTATTCCTTTTTCGTCGAACCAGAAAGAAGTTTCGACCCCCATTTTTCAGGAGCGTCTATCTCCTTTTTGCGGTACGTGAGCGTCGTTTGTCAGAGCACCTATTTTACTTTATAAGCGCGTACCTCGCTCTCCCGCGAGTTGTATACCGCGTCGTTGCGCGCGGAAAAGGGCCATCACACGTAAAAAAATTTCAGTCGTAACCGTAAGATCGTAAGCATATCGACTAGACACAGTTAGGCGTTTTAAAACATAAGATCGTAATTTTCATTGTAATTTTTGCTTACGGCCTTACGGTTTACGACTAAAACTTTTTTATGCGTAATGGTCGTAATACCGGCTTAGTGAATAAAGAGTATCAAGAAAGAGCAATGGTGCATTATTTTTGGTGCGACAGACGTAACATTATGAAAGTGAACCAAATGTGACTATTAATACTCGATACCCAGACAACAAAAAGTGTTTAAAATCAGGTCATAAGACACTTAAACACGTCTTATGTCATAATTTTAGACACTTTGTGTTGATTGGGTATCTACGAGTTGAATTAAGTTTTATAATGTATCATATATTTCATCAAATAGATTAGTACTTCTTCATCATTTTTTCTTTTGAAAGTAAATTAAAATATGTAGTTAGTTGCTGCCTGTATGGCTTTTCTAAGATCATTTTATACATAATAATAATAATAATAATAATATACCGCTATTTTCGGTGACGTTATGTATTATAAGACTAAACCAAAGTAGAGATTTTTAAGTAAGAGGTTGGACATTATAAGTTTGATCCGCCATAATTTTCAGGACTTGCAGCTTAAGGTAGAATGAGATTATGAACAAGATAGAGTGAGGTATTCACGCACTTTATTCTACTTATGCATCTATCTGATTCCATCTTAAGAAAAATATGGTGAATCAATAAAAAAAAACTTGTCCAATTTCTTATGTACTTGAGGATCTCTCTAATTCAAAGCAAAACTCAACAATATCGTGATACACTTCTTTTATTTAATGTATCGGTTTTACTTCGCCAGGATGCATTTTAAATGAATGCCTCAGAGATTCGGACAATTAAACAGTTTATTCAGATCAAAACATGGTGTAGTATATACATACGAGTTAGTTAAACGATATCGGATCGCGTGACGGACAAGGGCAGTGGAGGAAGGGAAGAGGGACAAGGGAAGGTCTGATATGAAATCACCTATACAGTGAACTTGAGGTTCGGGCTTACGACCGCTGATCGATTTACGTGGACTCTCTCGCGTCGTTACAGCTGATTATGTACAATCACATTATTCGCTACTGTTACTTTTTCGTGATCGTTTGCGCTTATCTTTTTCTTTTCTCTTCTTCGCACTTGATTGTTGAGTCACGCCGACCGAGAACGTGACTTTCGGTACCTACTTTCGGGCGAGTCTCCTCGCAACACGCTCGCTGAATAAGATTCTCGCGCATGTGTATGAAAAAGATGGATATCCCCGACATTTCCCGTTCTTATAAAATGAATACGGGCAGTATAATACTTTGTCTTATTCTAATTCTCTCGGTCCGCTTTGATGCGTCACCACCATCGCTCATTCTTGAATTTCGAACAATTCTCGTGGACGTGAAAGATATGTGATATTGATCGATCAATTCTTCGACGATTGTTCGGTAACGATTGCTAGATTCAAGGGATTCGTTGCAAATTGGGTAAAGAAAAAAAGATTATGTAGCTCGGAAAGTTCAGGACCAGGGTCCCTATTCTCGAAAAGTATCGCATACGAAAAATTAGGGAAATACTATAGTATGTGTTACATATATACTATAGCATTTTCCTAGTTTTCCGTATGCTATACTTTTCAAGAATAGGGCCCCAGATCTGTTAGGGCAAGAGCACGCGATAGACAAAGGCCGGTATTCATAATCAGTTCTTATATTTAAGACCGTTTTAAGTTCAATCTTGAGATGTCATGAACCAATCAGAGAGCCGCATTAGCGTCTTAGAACATTAAGACGATCTTGAAATAAGAACCTATGAATACCGGCCAAATTTCGGCCGACTGTGTCGTATATGGAAAGTCCTTGGCAGTGTGTGTAATATGGATCAATTTTAACCCTCTCCACCGAGTAAAATAAATTTAACTCTTCTGTTAGCAATAAGAGATCTTTAAGAGATAGAATAAATTTTTCTCTCATTGTTCAGAAATACATAAAAATTAAAAAAAATTTTGGTATACTTATTAAAGTTTTAATAATGAATTTTTACTCTCATGGAAATTTGGTTTGTATTAACTTTCTTATTTATCTACCAAAATTCATAATTTAAATATAAATAAAGGCTTCAATTATTGGCGAAAGATTAATTATGAGCAGAAATTAAATTGATAAGAATAAATCAAATAAAAGGAAGCGTCCTATTTTTGATTGAAGCGAATGTTGATGCATAATGATATTCATATGTAAATTTTTGTAAATACATTTTTTTTAATTCAATGAACTGCGCGCTGATTCGATTTGTCGAACTTAAAATGCAATCGTAAACTGCAAATAAACATCATTATTAACTTTCAGTACTCACAAAGGGTTAGCGTAATCCCCCCTGATTTTCATAGTTCAAACGTTTTTACCCGATCCCTTTTCACTTATTGCAAAATATCTTTTGTATTACGATATTTTCGACTTTCTAACTAAAAAATTCTTTTTTTTTTCAGTCTTCAAACATTTGAAAAAAAATTATTATAGTTAAAATCGATGCACTATAATCTGAGATACAAGCAAAAGAAAACGCTGGATTACAAATACCCGGATGTGGGTAGATAGCGACTTTTTTGAAATGTGAGTACTGAGGGTTGAATTGACGATCAATATAATTTGAGATATCAATATTAAGAAATTTTAATTGTTTTTCATAAATGATACAATAGTCAACCGACACTTTGTCTACCGTGTGATTTTGCCTTTATTAGAATTCACAAAACTCTCGACGTCTAGGAAAGAAGAGGAATAGAAAAAATAAGATCCTTTTTTTCTTCTCTTAAAAAGGAAGAACCATTGTGTGAAGAAATAACGAAGCTACATTTCATTTATAATAAAAAGGTTCAGAGAGTTTGAAAAATACCTTCATCCTCTACACACACAAAAATCCGATCCTGGCATCGTCAAAAAATCGCAACGCCGCGACGACAGTTCAATCGATGAAGAGAGTGTGAATTTGAAAGATCTCAGTGGAACTCGTTGTCGAACGTTTTCAAACATGAACGCCAATGGAAATAATTTCCACAATTCTGCCTTCGCGTGGATTGGCGATGGAAAGTTAAACGAGGCGCTCGACAAGTCGTTCCGCTGAACTTCCTCTCGAAAACTTGAACGTTGTCAACCTATCGTTAGACTTTCCCGTGATAATATATACAGCGATATATTAACTAACGAGCAACCATCGTACTTGACCATTACCTCTTTATATACATTGAAACACCACACACCCGACAATTGATTCGACGTTATTCGCCTCTCAAGGATAACGACTACTACGCGTTACCAACGCGACTCTCGTTATTCATTCCTCGGTCTGTCACTTACACTCTCTCTCTCTCTCTCTCTCTCTCTCTCTCTCTCACTCTCCTTTTTTCTTTTTTTCTTTTTTCTGTTTTTTTACACATTACGAGTCTATCGATCATCCAAAGCGCGAACTTTTCCACAAGCAAAGTTCGCGTTACACCGTTTCCATTACGCTTTTCATCGATTCGTTAGTTCCATTCTCGGCGTAGAAGTTTCACGACTTCGTCGTGAAGTGTCACGTGGAAGACCAGTTTTTGCGAAACCTTACAAAGTGAAGCTTACCTCGCGTGAGAACGCAAAGAACATCGCGAACACTGTCGCGTTATGTCCCTTTTCGACTTTTCCTTCTTTCTTTTTTTCTCTCGTCAAGAATCGAACGCGAATAACGGTGATAACGATATGACAAAGGACCCGTTAAAACTATGTATATATTTACACACACGCATACACACATACACACACCCCGGTGGAAATTCTTAGAACGTTTAAAAGCGTCCGAGTCTCGCAAGAGTAGTATTTTTTTTTCATCATTCGGCGGGGAGTACAGACAACTCATATCAACGCGCGCGCGCGGTAGAAAAATTTATAAATGCTCTATCACAATTATCAATAGAGTGTAATGTGCGCCTGGGTTTTGTTTCCGTAAGAATCGCTTCCAACTTTGTACGTTACGCGGCTCGGCGTG